TGGAGCTAGTGTGAGCCAGGACAGAGCTAGTGTGAGCCAGGACAGAGCTAGTGTGAGCCAGGACAGAGCTAGTGTGAGGTGGGACAGAGCTAGTGTGAGCCAGGACGGAGCCTGGGGCCCAGTGCCACACACGCAGGTTCACTTGAGGCTCAACACCCGGTGAGACGGTCACTATTTCACACAGAGGAAACTGAGGTGTGGAAGGGAAGGAGACTATGGGATTTGAATTCAGTCCATCTGACCCCAAAGGAGCTGGCAGGCTGGTGCCCCCTGCACACACACACCCACCTCCAAAACCAGGCAGAGTGGGCTGACGTGCTGTGCATCCTCCACCCCCCCCAACACACGCACAGGCACACGCACGCACATGTCCCTCCGACACCAGGCAGAGCGGGCCGTGTACCCTCCATCCCCCCATGCACACGTGCATAGGCACGAGCACACACACGCCCCTCCAACACTAGGCAGAGCTGGCTGACGTGTTTGTGGAAATGGAACTGGAGCCTGGGGCAGAGGGAGGCTCCCTCTCGCTGGGGTGGTGGGGAAAACTCCAGGAGGAGGGGTGTCTGCCTGGCCCCACCTGGGGGCACCCGTGGGCCGTGTCCTCCCGGGGCGCAGAGGCGGGCAGGGTGACTCACGTTGCCTTCATCGTCCACCACCTGGATCTGCCCAGAATCGCAGAGCTTCACCACCGCCCCGATGGGCACATCGAACTCCTGCCCGGATCGCAGGTCCATCCACACATAGTCCCCCTGTGGGTGACATAACAGCCTTGGTCAGGTGAGCGGGGGCCTGTGCACCCCACCCCACACCCCAGAGGCTCTGGGGCCAACCGCAGATGAGGGAAGAAAAGAAAACGGATTTGCTGCTACTGCCTGGTGGCAGGCCCAGGCTGGGCACATTCCCGGCTCCCACAGTCCTGGCAGGCCTTACCTCCCCATTTCACAGATGTGGAAGCAGAGGTTCAGGAGAGGAGAGCCATAACCACAGAGCTGGGCAGCTTCAACTCAGGCCTGCTCAAGGCCGGGCTCAGCCATGGCTCTGCACCCACGTACAACAGCCCCACGGGGGTTTGGCCAGGAGCGCCGAACCTCACAGACCACTTTCTGTCATAAAGAAGGTGGCACCAGAGGACGCCCAGACCGTGGGTGGCGCTACAGCCTCCACCACCTCGGGCCGACTCTCGCCATCACAGTACGAGTTCGAGGTCCACCACACCCTCTCATGGCTTGAGGGGACAGCTTCTGGCACAGGGCCTGGCACACAGTCAAGGCTCCTGGGAGCCAGAGCGAGGGCTTGGGGTCAGAGAAATGGACTCAGGACAGTCATGCTCTGCAGACGCGTGTGAGCACCCACCAGTCGGCACCGAGCACAGGTGAGAGCTGTGTCCTCAGTGGCAGAGGGGGAGCACAAACGAGTGGGACAGAGGACCCAGATGTGGCAGCAGGGGTGACCCCCAGCCTGTCTCAGACTCAGCAGCCAGGAAAGCCCTCTGTAGGGGTGGTCTCTGAGCTGGGGCCGGAAGAGGAGGAAGCAGCCAGGCTGGGCAGGGAGAGTGATCCGGGCAGGGGGACTCAGTGTGTGCAAAGGCCCTGGGGTAGGGAGACCAGCAAGGAGGCGATGGTGGCAGGGGCTGCAGATGGACAGCAAGGTCAGCGGGTGGGCAGGGTTCAGGACATAGCCCTTACTGGCCTTGGGATCAAAATTTGACTTTTCTCTTTTTAAAGAATTATTTTATTTAACTTTATTTATTTAGACTTTTTTTTTTTGAGAGGTTTTTGCTATAGGGCGCGTGCACTCGCCAGACAGACAGAGACAGAGAAACAGAAAGTGAGAAATCGCCCCCCAGGGGGGATGGTCACGCCGCAATCCCTTCTCCTCCATTCTCCTCTCGGGATCTTGGGCATACACGCACACGCGCCCAGCGTGAGATTTAAGCCACTGGGTCCGAGACGCAAATCACGGTTGACTACGTGGGAGTCCAGTGACGTAGCCATTACGCTAACTGCTGGTTCCATATTTAGACATATTTTAATTTCAATGCCTTTAACCACCACGCCATCTGCCGGTCCCTGGATTTTCTTTTAATCCTAACACAAGTATTCTTCTAGGGTAGTTCCTAAACTCCCCAGGATAAAAGTACAACTTAGGGGGACCGGCAGGTGGCGTGGTAGTTGAGGGTGCTGGATTCCTACATGGCTGCCCACGGTTTGAGTCCGGGACCTGGCGGATGGTTTCTCTCTCTCTCTCTCTCCCCTCTCT